ATATGTATCACCTGGTGGCTCAGTGATGAAGAGCTCAGTTGCTAAGCAAAAGATCAGCAGTTTGAATCCACCAGCCACTCCTTAGAAGCCCTATGGGGCAGTTCTACTCTGTCCTACAGGGTCGCTATGAGTCAGAATCAACTCGATGGCAATGGGTTTTTTTTTGGTATGTATTACTTACTTAATCCTTAGAAAAGCTCTAAATAGTAGGCATTATTATTACATCTCTTTTAGGATGAAGAAAATGAGACTTAAATAATAAAACGGGGAAAAAACTCTCTTCTACTGAAGAAAGCCTGAATCAACAGATTTAAATGATTCACCAGTTATTACAAACACACATCCACATACAAAAAAAATAATGCAAAGGACAAGCTCCTAGTAATGGCCTCTGCTTATAATTTTGAATTTCAAAGAGAGAAAAGCTACTACAGGCATAAAGGCAGGGGGAAGGAAAAAACAAAAAATTTTATATATATTAAAAAAATGAAAAAAAAAAATACACACAGGCAACAAAAGATACTGTTAGATATGCAAGAGTTCAGGAAGTGAGCAACCACATACAATTCTAAAACACTGCTGCAAGACCTGTTCCAGCTTTTGAATAAATTAGTCAAAAATAGTAGCAAAAATAAGGTAATTTAGCAAAGTAGGAATATATAAAAATAGCATACATAAATCAATAATTTATATTTATGGAAACAATAACCAGTTAAATGATATGATGGAAGAGTAGATCCACACATACTAACACAAAATAAAATAACTAAGAAATGAGCAAAACTTATATGAAGAAAACTTTAAAACACTCCCAAAAGACCACAAAGCAAACCTGAACAAATGGAAAGGTGGACCATGTTCTTGGATAGGAGACTCCACATCATAAATGAGCTACCCATTGCTGTTGAGTCAATTCTGACTCATAGCTACCCTACGGGACAGAGAAGAACTGCCCCATAAGGTTTTCAAGGCTGTAAATCTTTACAGAAGCAGATTGTCACACCTTTCTCCCACAGAGTGGCTGGTGGGTTCAAACTGCCAACCTTTTGCTTAGCAGTCGAGTGCTTTAAACACTGGGCCATCAGGGCTGCATAAATGAGGTAGAGAAGACAAGGAAACAGGTTTGAGAGGGGGGGACATCAAGGGTTCTGTCTTGGTTGAGTTTGACCTCTCAGAAGACAAGTCAAATAGGATTGGATAGGTAAGTATGGAGCTCCATGGAGTGGTCTGCACTGAAAATATGAGTTTAGGAATCCTCCGTATATGTACTTAGCAACAGTGTGTAGCTGGAAAAAGGAAAAACAGCTAGGACAGATGCCTGCAACATTTATAGATCAGCTAGAGAGTGAAGAGCTATCACAGAAGACTGAGACCGAGTAGCCAGTGAAAAAGAAGGATAGCCAAGAAAGTGGGATATCCTGGAAGCCAAAGACAGTTACTCAAGGAGCGAACTCTCACCACTATATTGGCAGGCCTGGCTCATAGAAAGAATTCAGTAAATATTTGTTAGGTGAATGAAATAATCAAGGAATGGATAAAGAAATGAAGTTTTCCCAGAAAAATATAAATTATGAAAATAGACTCAATAAGTAGAAGGAAACAAAAAATTTATATTATTCCTGTGTATTGTATGTACATGTATATGTACATGCGGAGCCCTGGTGGTGCAGTGGTTAAGCATTCGGCTGGTAACCAAAAGGTTGGCAGTTCGAACCTACCAGCTGGAAACCCTGTAGGGCAGTTCTACTCGGTCCTATAGGGTCGCTATGAGGTGGAATAAACTGGACAGCAACAGGTTTGTTTTTGTTTTGTGTTTTATGTACATGTGAGAGTAATTGTGTATAATGCTAACTTACAAAAAATCCTTAATTCCAACTAAAAGTTCAAATCCACTACAACGTAACCACATGGCTTCTTGTTGCTGTTGTTAGGTGCCAACAAGTCGGTTCTGACTCATAGTGACCCCATGTACAACAGAACGAAACACTGCTGGGTCCTGCGCCATCCTCACAGTTGTTGCTGTGTTTGAGCCCATTGTTGAAGCTACTGTGTCAATCCACCTCTTTGAGGGTCTTTATCTTTTTTGATGACCCATCACGTGTCTAAGAGTACCAAAATCTGCACTAAAATATTCAGCTAAATACACAATGAATTGCTGTAATAGAAATGAAAAGGTATGAAATGCTCAGTCATAAAATACTGAACACTATAAGTACAAATAATATGGATTTATCAGTCTTCCTTCCACAAGATCCTGAAATACCATAAACCCTCTTCTCCTGTCCCCAGATACGCCATCAGAACCTGCTCCCTTACCCAGGCACTGGTCTGTTCTTCCAACTTACCTTAAAACCCTCTTTCAACAAATCGTTGACATCCAGAATTTCAAATTATCCCTAGAGGGCTTCAAATGACCACTTATCTACTAGATACTATACAAGGACAGAAGCCAGGCATGGATTTCTCTCTCATTTTTAAACATCTTCAGGGAGTAGATAGGGTTAAATTATAATAACAGTCTTTCTTCATAAACAGTTCCAAAATGGTATATTAATTGCATATATGCAGCCATCAAAGTAACTTTCATGATGTCAGCTACATTGTTGATCATATTTAATTGGGATCAGTATGGCTGTCAGATTGATTCATTTTCTGTGTGCATAATCTATTTTATCTTCAGACCAATTATTAATGCTTCTTACTCTGCTGTAAATCTAATACAGAGCCTGCACTCTGTAAAGGGTGAATTAGTTCATTCAAACAAACAAAGAAAAACTAATCTTTCAGCCTTCCATAAATACAATAATGCACATTTACCTCCTGACCTGGATATGATTGGCTTTATCTCTTCATTCCCTTCTAATGAAGCTGTACAACTTCTTTAAAGTGTTGAACAAGCAAGTGAAATCAGTTTTTCATACATGGTGGCGCAGTGGTTAAGAGCTGGGCTGCTAACCAAAAGGTCGGCAGTTGGAATCCACCAGCAGCTCCTTGGAAACCCTACTGGGTAGTTCTATTCTGACCTTTAGTATCAGTATGAGTCTGAATTGACTCGATGGCAATGGGTTTGGCTTTTAGTTTTATAGCTAAAATGATATTCCATGTGTAAATTATAAACATTGATTATTTCTTTGTTGTGATTGTTAGCTGCCATCCAGTATGCCCCCAACTCAAGGCGACCCCACGCACGACTGAGTAAAATGCTGCCGGGTCTTGCACCACTACCATGATCAGTTGCAGATCAGACCATGGTGATCCACATGATTTTCACTGCCTGATTTTTGGAAGTAGGTTACCATGCCTTTCTTTCTTGTCTGTCGTAGTCTGGAAGCTCTGCTGAAACATATTCAACATCCTAGCAAAATTCAAGCCTTCACTGACAGATGGGCAGTGGCTACACATGAGGTGTATGGGCTAGGATTCAAACCCGTCTCCTGCATAGAAAGCAAGAATTCTACCACTGAACCACCAATGCCCCCGTGATGATTTCTTAGTAGCTAATTACATCTGTCAGTCTCTTTCCTGCTTCTCTGACTATTTCTGAAGCACACCTACAGTCTTAAACTTACTAAAAAAATTTACTCTTTTGAACACGTTACCCTTTGAGCTATAATATTCTTTGCAAAGCAGCTGTTCCCTGGTTCTCAATGACTGTGCCAACCTGATTTTTAGCATTAGGATGGAGCCCTGGCAGCACAGTGGTTAAGAGCTTGGCTGCTAAGCAAAAGGTCAGCAGTTTGAATCCACCAGCCGCTCCTTGGAAACTCTACGGGGCAGTTCTACTTTGTCCTATAGGGTCACTATGAAATAGAATTGACTTGACGGCAAAGGGTTGGTTGGTTGGATATTTCTGGCTCTACAGCTTATAAAAGTCAGGTGTGCCCTTGAGGTAGACTGAATCCTAAACTTAGTAAGACCATGGCTTCCTTTCCTAATAATTATCTCCTCTTTTCACTTAGTAATATATGGTGTCAGAGTAGCTGCTTCACCTCCACTAGTTGTTTTAATCCTGTTCAATCTGCTAGGATAAGTATTTTAAAAGCTCATCTACCAGGTGAGCAGGGTGTGTACATAGGCACTTGTGTACGGAATTAGAGCTGCATTTTCTCAGGGTGTGGTTTCGTACAGTAGTTCAAAATGGGATAGAAACCTTTGCATCTCCATCAGCTGTTATTTCTAAACCTTAGTAAGGTGGCGGCGGCCAGAGGTAGGAGTAAAGGCCAAGCTAAATTTATCTCTGATCCAAAGGATCGTGTGTTGTGTAGTTTCATGGACTCCTTCTCTGCCAGGTCACTGACAGGCACTGCAATACCTGCTTTTCATAGGATATTTTTCTTGATTTCTCAGCAACTTCCCTAAACAATATATACCATTTCAGTGATGTGAATTATTTGCCACATAGAAGACTTTTGCACAATACTTTAAAGAAGTCATGTGTAGGATTCTGTTCTACGCAGTATAAATGTTAGCTGGTAGAAATTGCTCCCAGACTTTGCAACTGAGTTTACCACTGCAGAGCAGACATGACGCCTCCCACAGTGAATAGGCCCAGGGCTTAAATGAAAGCATTAAAAAAAATATGGCATACAGGCATGGTAAAAATAATAATAATAAAAATAAAAATCCTGACTTACAAATAACATATTGTTTTCAAACCTCATGCAAAAAGAGAGTGAAGGCAATATTATAAACTAATGAGATTTATTTTTGTGTCTTATGAAGGAAAATTTCATTATCATTTTCTATAAATTATACATATAATTATTTATGTCTATGTATTCAGTTTACCCATTCTAACAATTGTCAATTGCCAGAATCAAATTTTATCAAAGGGAACACTATTGACATATATGAAAAATTATAAAATATACTAAATTTTAGTTAAACATATGTTGATTACTATAAAATCTGTATAAATGCTAAAATGCATAGCTCAAGTTTAATTATAATTTTTCAGAAATAAAAAAAAAATTCTACCAATGGGAAAATGATGTACTTACCTGGATCTTCTATAGTTAAGTTCTTTATTAACCATTGAACAATGTCTGACCCTAGAAAAAAGAAAAACACACATAGAAATGAACACTTCGTTTGTATGTGTTAACTTTGAGAACTCCGAACTTTTGGTTATATTAGTAGGAACAATTTTAATTGCTAAATTATCAGGTTGAACATTATATGGAGCACTGAAAACAAAGAATGCAAATACACAGTTTTCTTCAGAGAATCAAGGTGCAAACTCATAAATTATTAAATATAAAATATTCAAACATAAAGATTTAATATACTAGTAGAAGATGAAGCGATTCATTCATTCATTGAATACATGTTTACTGGGTTCCTACTATGTTCGAGGGACAATTCTTAGTACAACCAGTACTTTATAATATGATCCCTGCCTCATTTCTGGTAGTTCCCATCTCATTCTTATATCTACTTTCAAGCCAAGCCAAATTTGTTGTCGTTCTTTGAACATTCCAGGATGTTTTAAGCCTTGGTGTTTTTATTGTGGTATTCTCTTTGACTGAAATGTCTTTCCATTATGTTCAAGACACTCAAGATTCATCTACCCAATAGAACTTCCCTTGGCTTTTGCCTTTGTCCAATGAATTTACAAACCCTCTCCTGGGATCCTTACTAGAATCTGTACTGTCTGTTAACTGTAGTGCTGATAATATGGTGCCACAACTGTTTGTTTAAAGACCTAGAGTAAGTACATTGGAGCAGGCTATCTTATTTGTCTTTATATAGCTGAAGGATAGCAGTAGCTGCATTAAACAAAAAGGTGAGTGAATACACTTTCACTTCATACAGAAGAGATTAGGGAGGTTCTGCAGGAAATGTAACGCTTAAGATACATTTTGAAGGATATATTTTGATGTATAAAAAAGAAAGAAAGTTACTGAAAGGGTCTGTGTAAAAAGTTAAAAGTTGTGAAACATTTAATAAAAACCATTTATTGTACATTTTCTAAATACTAGGTGCTGGGAATAATAGGGACTCAAAACATAGTTCATAGTACATTCAGCAATTCTTGGATTCCAGGCTAAGGAATTTGGATTTTTTCCTATTAGAAAGACAGAAAAGGAGAAATATAATGTTTTTTGAACAGAAGAATGACATTATCAAAGTTGGTGTAAGGAATTTGACTGAATTATGTGGCAGGCCTTGGTCTAGGCAGGAAGAAAGTGGGCCACCAACATTCCTACTGGTTGTGAGCCAGGATTGATGGGCTAAGGTTCTAAACTAGTTCAGTTTATAAACCAATCCAAACAAAATTAGAGTCTTGTTTCAGGGATTTGTGACTAATGAAGCATGGGGATGGGGAGTAGGAGAGACTAAATGAGAACTCAAGGTTTCCATCCCAGCAGCGTGGATAAACAAAATGGTGCAAATGTGAGCAGAGATAGAAGATTCAGGAAAAGGAGCTGATGTGCTTGAGATGTCCATTTCTATTTAAATTTGGTTTTCAGCATAATTCATTTCTGCATAAAATAGCACAAGGATAAAATAGGTATGTAAGTAATTATGTATACAGAATAAACTGAGTCATGGTTGCATGAGTGAAATTCTGATGTGAACTGAGATTCCATTCCAGCTTCTTCTAGAGACAGGCTAAAGTTGCTGCCCACCCACCTCAGAGATCTTGCAAATGAGTTATAATAACTCTGTAATATTGGCTGCATGGATTAAAATAGTTCAAAACTGATTTCAAAGTAAACTTGATGCATGCCACAACACGAATGAACCTTGAAAACATTATCCTGAGTGAAATAAGTCAGTTCCAAAAGGACAAATACTGTATGATCTCATTTACATAAAATAAGCAAATATATGGAAACCAAAAATTATTAGTGGTTACCAGAGGTACAAGGGAGGGGGAAACGGGGATTCTTTCCTTAGGGGGCACTGAGTTAATGTTAATGGTGGTAAAATAATTTCTGAAAGGATAGCAAGAATGGTTGCATAACGTGAAGAATCTAATTAATGTCACTGAATAATACATGTAGAAATTGTTGAGATGGTGTAAGTTTTGTTGTGCATATTTTCACCACTAAAAAAAGTAAACTTTACTATCAAATTTAATAATAATTTCCTAAAGTTATGGCAACATTCATATCCAACATCAATGTCAGTCTACATGCATTTTTCAGACAACTTCAAGTGTAGAATCTACTTTTGTCTTTTATAGCTGTTCCTTTTAGAGCTGCTGCTGATTTAAATGCATTTGAGAAGAAGGATTCATGCACACCTTTAAGGAAGTTTCAGTAAAATAGATCTGAGGGAAGGGAGGTAGGGAATCACTCTCAACAGCACAACAATTGCAGTGTTGTGTTTATGCTTATATCCTAACTTCTCCAATGAACAGCATGTGCACAACTTGAGGTACGGTGTTCCCTTGAAAAAAAAATGAGAAGTCATTTTCGTATTCAAATATGTACATAGTGATGCTTGACCAGCATACAGTTCCAGGTACTTAAACTGAATGCACTACCTCCAGGCACCCTGCTCACTTATCACAGTTGAGCATCTATTTGTGCAACACGTGAGCAACCACTGGAAATTTCCCATTGTTTTGAAGAAAGCCAAACACTGGTTCCAGGACTATAATTTTTTTTTCATTGTGAACAATGACTTAAAAAAAAAAATTCTTTTGGAGAAAGTGAAGAAAAGTTTTCTTCCCTTTTTTTCTGAGCAGAAATAAATACAAAGAAGTCTGATGTGGAAAAGATTTTTAATTTAGGAAACTCTCCAAGCTTAGAGTTCGGTATTTCTGTCACATGAGTATTCTCAATTCAGCTCTGAGTCAGTGTATTCTGACATGATCGATCATCAGTGTTACTTAGTAGATGTTGTAGTAGTTTTATTATTGTTTAATCACCCCAACATATTTATGAATTTAAGTTTAAAATTATAAATTATTTTTTATTGTGAAATGCATCCCCAAAGTCAACATATTCACCTATTCTGTGTCACTGACAACAAGAACTGAACTCTCTGGTGAGAAAGATACAAACAAGAGAGAGAAAAATCTAGTATTTTAATGGAACCAGAAGATTGAAGGAGAAATATTCCATCATGGAGTCACCTTGTGAACTGCTATCCAAATTTAAAAGGAGGCATTACAGCCAGGTGGGATGTAGGAAGGAAGAAAACCTTTCCAGCAATTTCTCAGCTTTATATTTAAGGAATGAATGGGCAGATCTACTCAAATTTTGCATACACAAATGTGAAAATGCAGCATATTTTCGAGTTCCACATATCTTTATTCTTGGGACTGCAGAGTAACATACAGCTTTTTTTCTTCTTATTTTGGTTTGTTGGATTTTTGCCAAGAGAGCTATCGATAGCTACAAAAGAGAAACTAGTTAAAAGATGCAACGATATCTTGTACCCAAAGAGATAAAAGAAACATCTCTTTGACTACACAGTCTATGGAAAGTTTAACCTAGGCCAGTGTCCATAGTCTTGTTTTGAATTGTTAGAGGTTTACATCACTTTTGGAGTTACAAAATTATGTGTTCTCTCTACTTAGCAGAACCAACAGAGGTTTTACTATTGTGTAATCATGACTTCAAATGAAAACAAGTAAAACCAAAGAAGCAAAATTCTTCCTCGCCACACTGCTCGTAATTCTTCTTGTGCTGCGTTGTTTTTTACTTCCATGACTTTGCTAATGCTATCGGTTTTAGGCTAATTCCAACTGACTCTCTAAAGTCCTGGTGGCAGTGGTTAAGAGCTTGGCTGCTAACCAAAAGATCGGCAGTTCGAATCCACCAGGCTCTCCTTGGAAACCCTATGGGGCAGTTCTACTCTGACCTATAGGGTTGCTATGCGTTGGAATCAACTCAACAGCAACGAGTTTGGTTTTTTGGTTCTGTAAAGTCCAGTTCAGATATTATCTACAACAGGAAACCTATCTGCCTTTCCTCACCCTATCTTACTTGGTAAGGCTTTTCTCCTCTATGTTCCATTAAGATTCCCTTCATCATTATACTTCCCAAAGGTTTTATCATCCTATCTTTATTTTTTTCTGTTTTCCCCTTTGTACCATGAATTCCTTGAAGGCAAGGAGTGAGTACTATTCATCTTTGGATCCCAACGACTCACACCAGCGCCTGCTATGTAAGAAGTGATCAGTTAATGTTGAAAGAACGGATGAATGGGCAGAAGGGCTCCCCTCTCTATAACTTACTCTAAGAGTTTAAAACAAAATAAAACAGACAACAACAACAAAAAAAGCATCCATCATACAAAAAATATTCTACTGGCAAGTAATTTTCAGCTACCATAATCACAGTTTGAAGTGATAGTTTTCCTTTACCAAGGCTTTCACTTCTCCACCTAATTCATAATTAAAGCAAAAAAAAAAAAAAAAAAAAGAAAGGGAATTTAGACACTGATATTATTTCCTCAGTTAATGAGCTCAGCTGCTAACCAACAGGTTGGAGATTCATGTCCACCCACAAGTGCCTCAGAAGAAAGGCCTAGTGGTCTACTTCTGAAAAATTAAGACATTGAAAACCCTATGGAGCATTCTACTCTGACACACATGGAATTTCTCTGAGTCAGAATCGACTGGATGGCAACTGGTTGGTTTACCACATCCTTTCCCATGTTATGGATGAGAACACTGAGGACTCGAATGGTAAAGTGACTTCCCCAAATCTACTGACCTGCTGCAGAGTTACAAGGCCTGGAAAAGATCTTGTGTCCCGTACTACTTCTATTATAGCTGACATCCCCTCCACAGATCAGAGCATACCCTCCACTACAAGTGTCAACTGTTGTTGTTAGGTGCCATTGAGTCAGTCCCAAATCACAGCAACCCTAAGTAAAACAGAATGAAACACTGCCCAGTCCTGCGCCACCCTCACAATTGCCGCTACATTTGAGCCTGTTGTTGCAGCCACCTTATAAATCCACCTCATTGAGGGCCTTCCTCTTTCTCATTGACCTTCTACTTTACCAAGGATGATGTCCTTCATCCTCATTTTTACTGCATTCTGGCTGTATTTTTTCCAAGATAGATTTGTTCTTCTGGCAATAC